CTATATGGGATCCGAACCCGTGGCCTTGGTGTTATCAGCACCGCACTCTCCCGAGTGAGCCACGGGCCGGCCCTGATTCCTGGATCTTCATTGAACAGCTCTGGGCCTCAGTGGGGATGATAGTAATACTCACCTCAGAGGGTGTTTTGGAGATTAAGGTGATCGTGTATGTAAAGCTATTGGAACTGTGCCTGGTATAAATTCAGTATCAGACTCTATTGGTCTTAACGTTTTTGTTCTGGGAGGGGACAAGATGGCAGACAGAGGTGGGGCTGGTGTGATCAGAGCACAGGAGACACCAGGGTCCTGAGGGGACATGTGGGTGGGTGTGAGGTAGGGATTGGGGAACCAGGATGGTTCGGAGGCCAGGGACTGCACAGCTCACACCTGAGCAACAAGGTATCTCAATTCTGACTAAAGCAGAGCCGGGTCTGGGTCCCCACTGTCTCTCTGCCTCCCGCCTCCCAGGAGACTTTGCCTACAACATGGATCAGGACAATGCCCGCGTTGGGGACAAGTTCATGCAGCTCATTGAACCTGTGGCTGCCAGCCTGCCATACATGACATGCCCTGGGAATCATGAAGAACGCTAGTGAGGACCAGGGGCTGTAGGGGTGGGCAAGGGCCAGATCAATGAAAATAGTTGTGTCCTTCTTGGTGTCTCGCCCTAGTCCTTTGCACTGAGTATCTCATTTGTGGTAATGAGAGGAGAGGAGGGGTGAGCTGGGAGCCAGACTCTGGCCTGACAGTGGGGTGGTGGGAGCAGGGCTGTGGCATCCCAGCCCTCACCCCCGCTTACTTCTTTTCTTCCAGCAACTTCTCTAACTACAAGGCTCGCTTCAGCATGCCGGGGGACAATGAAGGCCTGTGGTACAGGTAATCTGGTGGTGCTGGGGGACTGACCTCTCTCCCCTGAAGGATGGGAGATGCAGAAGAGACTGCATCTCTGACCTCTGCCCTTTGACCCCTCCAGCTGGGATCTGGGTCCGGCCCACATCATCTCCTTCTCCACAGAGGTATATTTCTTCCTCCATTACGGCCGCCACCTGGTACAGAGACAGTTTCGCTGGCTGGAGAGTGACCTCCAGGTAACCTAGCTGGAGGTCCCCTTTATTTAGCCCTTTGGCCAACCTCCCCTCCCCCTCAACCCCCACCCCCTGTGCTCACTCTGGGCCCTTCTCTTTAGAAAGCCAATAAGAATCGGGCAGCGCGGCCCTGGATCATTACCATGGGTCACCGGCCCATGTACTGCTCCAATGCTGACTTGGATGACTGTACGAGGCACGAAAGCAAGGTGAGGACCCCTCCCTGGGAGGTGGGGCAGCGGCGCGGAGACCCGGTGGGGGTCGACCCCAGTCATCCCTCACCTCCTTGCTTCTCCTGCCCAGGTCCGCAAAGGCCTCCACGGCAAGTTGTATGGGTTGGAGGATCTTTTCTACAAATATGGTGAGTAACCCCAGCCCCGTGCCCCACATCTCATCTCTCCCTGACTCAGGGGCCTGATCCCCGCTCACTCTGTCTCAGGAGTGGACCTGCAGCTGTGGGCTCATGAGCACTCGTACGAACGGCTGTGGCCAATTTACAACTACCAGGTGAGGCACATGGATGGCCCACATGGCTGGGTCAGCATGGTCAGACCCCCTGGGCATGGCCTGATGTGACCCCCCCCCCCCACTTTGTTCCCTTTTTCAGGTATTTAATGGCAGCCAAGAGATGCCCTACACCAACCCTCGAGGCCCTGTTCATATCATCACAGGATCTGCTGTGAGCAAGGCGGGGAAGGGTGCCTTGGCTTCTCACCTCTTGCTACTTATTGAGGGCTGACCTTGTACTAGCCTGGGTGCCACGTGTTTTATGCAGTTGACATCACTTAATCCTCAACCCTGAGTTTAGGTACTACTAGTAGCATGCCCATTGTACAGATGTGGGAACAGGCTCAGACAGGATAAATATTTGCTCAAAATCACAGGTTGAACAAGTGGCAGGGGTGGAGGGGCTTGCCCCGTCTGCTGGATGGAAACAGAGGCAGAGGGCTGCTGCTTCTCCCCCCTCCCCCTCCCTCCTTCATTATTATTAGTATTATCATAACTAAACTACAGACTTTATTCAGATTCCACCAGCTCCCTCACTAGTGACCTTTTTCTTTTCCAGGATCCCACATTGCATTTAGTTATCGTCTCCTTAGTCTCATCCAACCTGTGACAGTTCTTCAGTCTTTCCTTGTCTTTTTCATCATCCACACTTTTGAAGACTCCTGGCCAGTTATTTTGCAGAACGTCCCTTGATTTGGTTTGTCTGACGTTTTCTCATGCTGCATTCAGGTTCTGCATGTTTGGCAAGACATTCACAGAAGTGATGTTGTCCTTGGTGCACTCTGCCAGGGGGAGCATGGCCACCACGGGTCTCGTTACTGGAGGTGTTCCTCGGAATCACCCGGTTAAGGAGGCGTCTGCTGGGTTCATCTACCACAGAGCCACTGTGTTTCCCTTTCTAATTAACAAATACGTATCTTGGGGGAGATACTTTTAGACCATGCAAATGTCCTGTTTCTCCTCAAACCTTCGCCTCCTAATTTTAGAGCCCACCACTGGGTCTTGCCTGCCACAATTATTACTGTGGTGTTCTAATGGGGATTTTCTATTTCCCTCATTTTTCTTAGATATTAATTGGAATCTTCCTGTAGGGAAGAGTTGCACCTTCTGTCCCATTCATTTAGGTGGTTAATTACTTATTTATATCAGTATGGACTTAGGGGTAATTGATTTTATTCTGTGGGTTATAACCCAATATTATTGTTATTTATTTTGATGCTCAAGTTCCTCCAGCTCTAGACAGTGGGAGCTCTCTCAGGTTGGCTCCTGTCCCCTTTCAACATGTCCCCATTGTTCTGTGGGGACTTCCTTACTTTCTGGCACTCCCAGATGCTCCAGGATCATCTTGTGTTTTCCCTGCCCAGTCTTGGAGTTAGCCCCTTCTCTAAGGACAGAGGGCTTATTTTTTAAGCCAGTTCTTACAAATGGTGAAGATCAAAGTGAAAACCACTCTTGATAAAAATTCAGATGGTATAGAGGGCAGGAGGTAGACAGCAGCCGCTCTCAGTCCCACTGTCAGTAGTTACATCTCTTGAGTGGCATTTAAAAATGTTCTCTGTATATACAAACGAGTAATTGTCTAGATAGTTACTGTTATCACCCACTTTTCAAAAATGACTTGGATCATGCCTCATATCCCAGTCGTTCTCAACCTTGGTGCCTGTCAGGATTATACGGGAAGCTTTTGAAACTCCAATGCCTGGGCCCTACCCCAGACAAAATCCTAGAATCTCTGAGGGCGGGACCCTGGCATTGGACTCCCCTTTGTAGCCATCACCTGGAGCAGGAAGCAGAATGTCGTCTGCACCAGATGCCTTCCCAGTCAGTCTCTGTCTATAGGTGATCGCTATTCTGATTCTTACCAGCACAGATTGGGTTTTTCCTTTAATTTAAAATTTTGAAATTATTTCAGACTTACAGACAAGTTGCACAAATAATACAAAGACTTTCCATATCTCCTCCACCAAGATTTACCAATATGAACATTTAACCACGTTTATTTTAATCTCTCCCCATTTTATTCCTGTTTTCAGATCCAATCAAGAGTTAATTGCAGACATGATGCCTCTTTACCCCTCTGTCTGTTTTTCCTGAAAAAACAGGGACCAGGACCTTCTCTTACATCACCACAGTATAATTATTAAATTCAAGTCGTTAACATTGATAACATGCTATTATCTAATCTACGGACCTTATTCAAATTTAGTCAGTTGTCTCATTAGTGTCCTTTATTTTATTTTTTTTTCTTTTTAAAGATGACCGGTAAGGGGATCTTAACCCTTGACTTGGTGGTGTCAGCATCACGCTCACCCAGTGAGCAAACCGGCCATCCCTATATGGGATCCGAACCCATGGCCTTGGTGTTACCAGCACCGCACTCTCCCGAGTGAGCCACGGGCCGGCCCCACATTAGTGTCCTTTAAATCAAAGCAAAGAATTTATTTTCCAGTCCAGGATCTAGTCTGAGATCATGTGATGTATTTAAGTGTCCTGTCTCCTTGGCTTCCTTTAATCAGAAACGTTTCCCCACACTTTTGTCGATCTTCATGACCTTGACAGTTTTGAAGAGTATAGCGAAGTTGTTGTGTAGAATATCCCTCAATTTGGATTTGTCTGATGTTTGCTCGTGATTAGATCGAAGTTATACATTTTTGTAAGAATGCCCGAAAATGATGCTGTGTTCTAGGAGGTGTATGATGTCTCCTTTAAAGCCCTTTGAGCGTCAGATTTCCCAGCTGAAAGTGTGCTATTGATCTGGCTCATTATTGATGATATTCGCATTGATCACTTGGTGAGGGCAGTGTCTGCCAGGCCTCTCCACCGCTAAGTTACTCTTTTCTCCTTTGTAATTAACAAGTGTCACCTGGGGTGATACTCTGAGATGTGCAAATGTCCTGTTACTCCTCAGACTTTCCCCACTAATTTTACCATCCACTGATGATTCTTTCTTTAATCAGTTATTACAGTGCTGCATACAGCATGGTCATTTTTCTAGCTCCCTCTTCCTCTCTGCTCATTTACCTGGCTTTCCCCTGCAAGGACGAGCACTCCGTTTCCCCCAGCATTGGTGTTTTAAAGCGCTTTCTTGGTGGATCTACCGTGCAGCCAGGGTTGAGACCCAGAGATTTCTTCTGTTCTTTGAATTGCTTTTCCCCCTTAACAATACATCTTGGCCATCTTTCTTTCTGTATTACCCTGCTTTGTGATGTCTATGCTGTAATTTATTTAACTGACTCCCCTGATGGGTATTTGGGTGGCTTCCGGTTCAGGACTTTTACAGAAAATGCTGTAGTGAACAGTCTTTTACAGCCATGCACTTTTCTAGAAGTCAAAGACCTGGGGCCAGGGAAGGCTGGCTGGGTCAAAACGCTCAATTGTGAGTATTACTGTGGCCAAATCTTAACTGATACTGTCTTCTTTGGGGGCGGCAGGGTCCCGGCCTGGCAGGATATTTCTGCTTCTCTGCAATTCCTCACCTGCCCCAGCCCCGGGTCTGACGCACTCTCCCCCACAGGGCTGTGAGGAGCGGCTGACCCCCTTTGCTGTCTTCCCACGGCCCTGGAGCGCTGTGCGTGTGAAGGAGTACGGGTACACGCGGCTACACGTCCTCAATGGGACCCACGTCCACATCCAGCAGGTGTCTGATGACCAGGTCGGTGAGGGGCGGGCCCAAATTACTTGCCTGAGCAGCCAGGCCCACTGTGATCTGGAGCCGAGTAGTTAAAATCTTGGCCTCTAGAGATGGAAACCCTGTATTCAAATCCTGCCTTTGCTACTTACCAGCGGGGTGACCTTGAACAACATATCTAACCTCTTTGAGTCTCAGTTTTCCTTTCTGTGAAATGGGGATGATAATAGTTTCTACTTCACAGGATTATATGGGGGTCAAATGACTTATATGTCAAGTGCTAGAACAGTATCTGGAACTTGGTAAATCATACAGGTATTTATCATTGCAAGGCAAGGCAAGGCAAAGACAGGTGATGGGAGGCAGGTGGAGGGGAAACAATATGATGTGTGTGTGGTAGGGGTGGCTTAAGGTTAGGTGGACATGAATAATAATGGCTCACCTTTATTTTTGCCCTTGTAGTTTTAAAATAATGATGATAATTGTGATTTATTGAGCACCTACTGTGTACCAGGCTCTGGGCTAGATGCTCTCTATTTAGTAGCACTTTAATCAATACAACAATCCCATAGGGGTGGATTTTCTTCCCATTTTATAGATGAGGGAACTGAGGCTCAGAGAAGGGAAGTAATTTTCCCACAGTCGTACAGTTGGAGGATGGCAGAGCTGCGATCCGACTCCAAAGCCACGTGTCCACTACAGATAAGTACCATGCACTGAGCAGCACATGCACCAGGCCCAGGCTTCTGTTTGCATCACCTCGTTCAGTTCTCACGACAACCCTGTGAGGCTGTTCTGTCATTCTGCCCATTGTGTAGATTACAGAAGTTAGGTTCAGGGGGTCAAATTCTTGCTTAAGGCCACACAGAGAGTGGATGCACTGATCATAAACAAAGGTTTGTCTGACTCCAGGATTTTTGCTCTAATAAAAACAGCCTACACTATACAGTCCTTGCCATGTGCTAAGCTCCCTTTTAAGCCTTTTACAAATATTATCTCATTTAATTCCCACAATGTTTAGGATAGAGGTACTATTATTATCATCCTCACTTTTCAGATGAGAAAAACTGAGGCTCAGAGAGGTCTAGCAACTTGCCCAAGGTCACACAGCCCATCAGAGGCAGAGATGGGATTTGAACCCAGGCCACCTGGCCCCAGAGTCCAGGCTTCAAGCCCTCACTACTTTCCCTGTTTTTGTCCCTCGCAGGATGGGAAGATTGTGGATGACGTCTGGGTGGTGAGACCCCTGATCGGACGGATGATGTACCTCTAGTGATGGGGGCAGCTCGCATCTGGAACCCTAGGCTTTGCTTCCTTGGCTGGTGTGATCACACTGCCCAGGTCTAGGTAGGGAGTCAGGGCAGGCCCTGATTCCCCTGCCCTCCGGAGGCCCCATGTGGAGTGGACACAGCCCTGCGGGAGCTGGGGCAGCTCTCCCTCCTGGAGAGGTGGGAGTCCTAGCTGGCCATGGAGGGAGGGCAAGTGTACAGGCACAGAGGGAAGCAGGGCAGACCTCAGCCAGTACTGCCCCGGCCTCCTGCATAGCACTGACTGCGTGGGGGGCCCTCAGGGCCTCGGGAATAAAGAGACTTTTTCAGCTGTGGCTCCGTGGACTCTGCACGTTTGCTGGAGATGCCCCCTGGGCTGGCTCCTCTGCTGCCCACCTGGCAAGGGGCATCACCAGCCCCAGGTCAGCAAGGTGGGCACAACCATCATGACACCACTCACCAGCAGGTGGCGTCGGTGGCTTTTTCTTCTGATCCTGACCCTCCAGTCAACCCCAAGCCTGACTTCTGCTTCAGTGGCCCAGGGAGTGCTACCCAGTGTTCCTTGTGCCTCAGTCTTGCAGCCTGGTACTGTCTTATCTGGGAAGAGAGGAAGTGTTAACACTCCTGTCTTCCAGCTGGAGCAGCTGACAAGCCTTAGAAGCTACCAGACCTGCCAGTTTCTTCCCTCTTTCCTTCCTTTCCTCCTTCCTCTCTTTCCCTTCTTCCTTTCATTTATTGAGCCAATATTAATTGAGCATCTACCAGGTTCCAGGCCCTATTCTCAGTACGGGTGAAATAGCCATGAATGAGACAGAGATCTCTGCCCTTATGGAGCTGACATTCTAACCAGGGGTTCAGACAATAAACATGATAAATAAGTAGGTTACAAAAACAAAAACAAACAAAAGAAATAGTGATACGTGCTCAGAACAGGCAGGGGCGGGGGAGCAGGGAGACTTCACTGTGAGGGTGACATTTGATCTGAAGGAGGTGAGGAAGGAACCAGATGGGTGAACATGTGGGGAAAGACCATTCCAGGCAGAGGAACAGCCAGTGCAAAGGCCCTGACACGGAAATGTGCCTGCCGTGTTGGAGGATCAGAGAGAGTGAGGGGGAGGATGGGGATGAGGGCAGGGAGGAGACAGGGACAGATTGTTTGGGACCTTGTGGGTCACAGTGAGGACTTCGTGTGAAGTCACAGGAGGGCTCTGAGCAAGTGTAAGACGCAGCCTGACTCCAGGAGCCTCAGGCAAAGGCTGGGCTCCAGCCTCAGGGCCGAGGGCTGCCCCCAGGAAAGCCTGTGGGTTTTCAGCCTGCGGGATGACCTCTATCTACTCCTCCATCGTGCTGTGTGGTTTCAGCCTCCTCAAACTTCTCACCCTCCCCTCACTCAGCCCGAGGCACACCGGCCTCCTTGTAGTTTCTCGGACACACCAACCTCTTTGTCACTGTAGGGTCCATGCACTGCCTGCTGGCCCTTCCCGAGGCGCTCTCCCCAGCTCATTGTGGGTTGGCACCTTCCTAGCCTTAGGTCTCAGCCCCAGTGTCCCCTCCTCAGAGGCCTTCCCTGGAGACCCCAGCTAAAACAGCCTCAGCCGTTTTCTGTCCCGTCCCTGTTGCCCTCTGTCCTACAGTTCTCTCATTGATTTAACTTGTTCTCTGTCTACCCTGCTGAGCTAGGGGTCTGTGAGGGTGGCGACCAGGGCCATTTCGTTCCTTCATGATTCTATCACTTGTACCAAACCCTCCCAGGCCCCTTTTCAGGCTGGGTTGGGGCCCCTGGGCTCCCCCCATCCCAGCTCTGCCCCAATCTGGGTTGTTTCTATCTGAGGATGGGTCTTTCTGACTCCCCGACTGGACTGTCACCCTCAGAAGGGCGGGGCCCAGGGCTGTGCCCCAGCATTGTCCAGTACGAGATAGATGCTTAATAAATATTTGTTGCCTTAATGAAGGCTGCCACATGCTAGGCTCCAGCCAAGCAATGCCAGGGACAGCAATGAATCAGCCCCATAATCAGTTATGCCCTCTGGGAGCTCGTAGGCAGGCAGGGAAACACAGTTACCCAACCCAGGTGACAAGCAATGAGGGAATGCTATGGAGGGGTGGACCAAGCCCGTGAAGTCACACACTGGAGAGTTATTACACTCTGCGGCCAAAGACTGAGCTAGGGCATTGTGTGGGCCCAGTACATTCTATCCCGAGCTGGCCAAGGCTGGGGACGTGCCCAGGAGGTGGGGTCCACAGAGGGCAAGGCCTGCACTGGAGCCAGACGGAAGCTGGGTTCGAGTCCTAGCTCTGTCACTTCCTGTGTGACCATGTCAAGTCACCATCCCTCTCTGAACCTCTTTCTTCATGTGTAACATAAAATGATACTACTCCATAGGGTTGGCGTGGGATTAAATGAGATTGAAAGCCTTGGTGGTGTCCTTGACTCCTCTTTTTCTCATGCCCCACATCCAAGTAGCTGGTAAATTCTGTCGGCTTTGCCTTTAAAATCTATCTAGCACCTCTCTGCTCCGGTCGCTTCCGAGGCCTCCATCCTGGCCCCGGCTACGCTCATTTCCCACCAACTCCTTGTGCTCCCTGCTCTCTCCCTGCCCCACACACAGCCAAAGGGACCTGTGAATACCCACATCTGACCAGATCCTCCCGCTGCTCAGAGCCCTGCTATGGCTCCCTCCTCCCCTGCTTCTTTGCTCAGTGTCGCCTTCTCAGTAAGGTTTCCATGACCCCGTTGTTTACCCCCCCATACTTCCATCCCCCTGCCCCACTTTATTTTTCTTCAGAGCACTTAGATCTTGCAACCCGCTATATAGATGCACGTTTAATTATTTAAACAGGAACACGGGTTTTTTTTTTTCTTTCTTGCTGGTTCTGTTCCCCTAGTAGCCCCAGTCACTGATACATAGTAGATGTTCGATAAATATTGGTTGAATGGATGAAGGAAGGAATAGAAATACAGGTAAAATGCTGGGCACAGCACCTGGCACTGAGGGAACACATAACAAGGGCAGGAATGGCTGTGATTTAGGTGACTCAGATAAAGGTCCTTGGGAGTTCCCACTGCTGGGTGCACAGGTGACAGGCATGTATGGCTGATTGTGACACCTGTGCTATGTGACATGCACAGGAAGCTACAGGTTCAGGGAGGGAGACCCTGAGGCTTCTGGGAGGTGAAGATGAGCAAGGCTTTTGGAGGCTGCACAGATGCCTCCAAGCTTGGGGAGTGGGGATGAGGGTCCCAGAAAGGGCGGCAGGGCCGAGGGGAGAGCTCGTGGGAAGGCTGGGGGTCTCTGTATTCATTCAACAACAATTTTTTATTTACTAAACTCCTTTGTTGCTCAAATCAGCCAGAAGTGGTTTCTGTTGATGGCCACTGAGGACTGTGAAAGAAACATTCACCTACTGTGACCCGGTGCTGGAGATGTTGTGGTGGCTGTGAGGACATTTCTGCTCTCGTGGAGCTTAAATTTTACTGGGGGAGGTAGAAAAGAAGCCATGAAAACAAAAATACTCTCATATGAGAATTCCTGATGGTGATTAACACTGTAAGGAAATGCACTGGAATTAAAGCGTGGGATAGTACTCACTTGGAAGAGCATAGTGCTGGTAACACCAAGGTCAAGAGTTCAGATCCCCTTACCAGCCAGCTGCCAGAAAAAAGGGAAAAAAAAGGAAAGGAAAAGAAATAAAATGGGATAGTAAAGGGTGCTTTAGATATGGTGTCCAGGAAAGGCATCTCTGTGGAGGTGACATATGAGCCAAACGATAGGGAGTTGGTCAAAGCAAAGACCTAGAAGAGTGATTCAGGCAGAGGAAACACCAGGTGCAAAGGCCCTGAGGCAGGACTGAGCCTATGTGTTTGAGGAACAGCATTGAGGCCAGGGTGGCTGGTGTTGAGTGAGTAGGATTACTGGATAAAATATTGAATGCCCAATTAAATTTGCATTTCAGACAAGTCTTGAATCTGTTTTTTTTTTTTTTTTTAGTATGTGTGTCCCCAAAATTGCATGGAACATACTTACTCTAAAAAAACAAAGATTCGGGCTGGCCCGGTGGCGCACTCCATAGAGTGTGGCGCTTGAGAGCGCGGCGGCGCTCCTGCCAAGGGTTCGGATCCCATATAGAGACCGGTCTGCTCCTGCTGTGACGTGGAGTGGGCAGAACGTTGAGTGGGGGAGACACAGTTCCTCCCAGGATTCTGCACACACTGCTGAGGAGACAGGATGCCCCTGGAGGTTCTGCAGGGGTCTGTTATATGGGATCCCTCTGTCCTGGGTAGAGGCCCCTCCTCCTAGCCCCTTCCTTCCTCCAGATCTTTGCTGCTTCTTTTCAGCAAATTTAAAAAATAATATCT